AGCGGAACTAAACGAAGTGAGATGAAACCAAAAATATCATCTTCCTTTAATAGTAGGTATAGATATAGATATAGATAGAAGATAGATATAGATATAGATATAGAGATTTAGATTTTTCCATTCATGAACATTTTTTGAATAAGAAAAGTTTTATTCAATTTCATTAATAGTTTTTAATACACGAATTTTTTTTAAAAATCATAAACATTTTTTCACTACCCAAACATTTGTTTTTAAAATTACGAACTTTTTTTGAATAAGCAAATATTTTATAAAGTTGCAAACATTTTTTGAATCCACAAACATTTTGCAATTTATTAATAAATTATTCCAAAATTATCATATTTAAAGTTTTCGAACTTTTTTAAGTCCCATATTATTTAAAATAGAAAAAAATAAATTTAAAAACGAGGCCGCCCGGATATGGGCTGGCCCAAACGGACGCGCTGCGTCTTCTCTGATTTATGCTACGTTTCTTGCCCAAAAGATAATGGGCGATCAAAAGGAAATCCTATGAATGGCGCGTGCAGCGCTCCCTAAATGGGATGCTACTTCGTTCGTTTCCTTTTGATATCTTTGATCTATTCTTTTCTTTCATAATTTTATTCATATTCCCAAATATCCTAAAATAAAAATATTTATATTTAAAATGCTTACACGGTGTTTAGAAACTGTTTATGCAGTACTTAACAAAGTTCATGAAACTTTTAAAAATGTTATTGGCTTTAAATGAAATGTACGTTAAAAATGTTCACAAGTTTCCAAAGAAAACATGACATTTTAATAAAATATTACGTACCATTGAAAAAATAAAAAATTGTGCACACCTTTCAAACAATATCTTCACGGAATTTCTAAAATATTTATGCAATGTACAAAAAAAATGTCATAGTCTAAAAATGTTTTATGGCACTTGAAAAATTCAATGTGCATTTGAAAAATGTTTAACATGTATTAAAAAAACATCTAAACATATGTATTTTTAAAAATGTATATCAATTATTCAAAAAAATGATCAATGTGTATCAAAAAGATGTATACGAAAAATGTAGAATGTGTATTGAAGAAAGTATGGACATGTTGATTAAAAGAATAAAAAGAAAAAAAACAAATAAAACCGATGAAGAAACACGAAAAACGGGGAAACCCGATGAAAGAAATACAGAACCACCTGAAACAAGCATGAAGAAAACACGCAAAAAAAGGTTCAAAACAATCACAGAAACAAATAGGAAAAAACAACCACGTGAAGCGAACCAACCTGTGGTTGGATGGTTAGGTGGACAATGGTATTCCCAGCCCACCAGGGTTCAAGTCTTGGTGCTCCCATTTATTCCTGGATCTATTTCAGGATTTCCGGCGATGTGCATTCAGTGGGAGGAGACGTTCCCGTCGATGACGAGGTGCCTACGGTGACTTTGTAAATTTCAAGATGATATGCCGGCTCAGTCTCTCGGAGGTGCTTATAGGGGTAGGGTGTGTGTGCGCGTATATATGAGCGCTTGCGTCTGTATTGTGTTAAAAAAAACAACCACGTGAAAAAAAGGTCAAAACTACCAGAGAAACAAACATGAAAAAAGCACACACGGAAAACCGATCAAAAATCTTCCCTAAGAAACCGCTTCCCCGGACCCCTATTAGACAGGCCCATCAGTCCTTGTCTCATTCGCGGGCTGGATCGTGGCTGAGGGCCCTGCATGGCCCAAGGTCGCTGGCACCAAAAAAGATGAGCCCTCGTACTATTACGTGTTCCAGGTGTTACGCGATCGACGACGTAGGCCTTCTCCGCCTTCCACTCAGAGATCTGGACATCTGGTAGGCTTCGTTGCTAATCGACCGGGGCCGCGTCGGATACGGCTCCTACCTCCACTCAGATATCGATCCAGCCGCTACAAATATATACATATCCCCGCACCACGTACGCCACCAACCACCAAAGCAACACATAAGAGCGGAACCATGAGCCATCTGAAGACGAGCGCCTGCACCATGGGTGTACATCGACGGTGACCAAGAGACGAAGGCTTCGCCGGCGCCAGCGCCGGCTGTCGTGTGTGCCTCCGATAGCCTCGACGAGTCGGAGCATTGCGCATTCGACTTGAAGCTGCTTGCCGATCTAGACTATCTCACAAGGAAAAAGGATTCCCGGATCAGGATGGATGTCCGCGCCCCGGCGCCTGACGATGCTGCGACGGAGGTGGTGCCTGCCGCGGACGCTGTCGGTGATGGCGCCGACGTCGTGGAAGACGAAGACGACTGCTCTGGCCGCCTCGAGAAAGCCTACGAGTTGGACCAAGACCTCGGTCAAGTCGACGACGAGTCCGAGCGTCTCGAGGATGGGACGTCCGACCTGAGGCTGAGGGGACTGCTCGACAACCTCAAGACCATCGAAAGTAAACTGCTCGACTGCCAGAGGGAACTGCTAGACTGCCAAAAGTCCATCCAAGACCACCACAAAGCTACACGCGATGCCCCTGCGCCGGCACTGTCAGCTCTTGCCTCGTCGTACAGCTCTTACGACGGCTACCGCAGCGGAGGTTACGGCACCAGCTCTGTCTATGGTGGCAACGGCTACGGCGGCAGAGGTTATGACGGCGGCCTCTCAGACTATGACTACGGCGGCGGACGTGGAGGTTACTACTGCGGCATCTCGGGCTATGACTACGGCGGCCTAGGTTACCATTACTACCTCTTAGGCTATGACTACGGAGGAGGTTACGGCATGAGCAGTGGAGGGGGTTACGGCATGAGCGGCGGAGGAGGTTACGACATCGGCTCTGGCTATCGCTACGGTGGCGGCCGAGGCTACGGCGGCATCTCGGACTATGGATATCGCTACGGCCGCGACGGAGGTCATTACTCTGACTTTGACTACGACGGCCTTGGAGATCGTTACAACGGCAGTTCTGGCAATAGCTACGGTTATTTGTTCATCGCATAGGTGTGTGGTGCTTGGTATCGTTTCATGTAATAGTAGTTGGCAATTGCTGTTTGGATCTATATATTGTTACGTAGTATTATTATATCTTGTCAGAAAGAATTAAACTATTAGTTATATCAAGTGGGTTGCTGAACTCTTGAACTTATTTGCTACTTCTCCGTTGCTATGAAATCCTATGTGACAGTTTGATACTTCCTTTCTTACACGTATAGCACTTACTTCCTCCGCTTAAGAATTAGTCTAGATATATACATCCGTTTAAACATCAACTAATTCAAGATGGAGAGAGTAATATATAACCCAAGTCCCAACTAAAAGAAGACTTGCATAGCCTAAGCGCGCGGCGCCCAATGCCCATAGAAGCGCCCATCATTAAATTAGATGTTGGCAATATTGAAGGATTTATATAAGGGATAAGTACATTTTTCGTCCTTGAACTATTTCGAAAGATTTAAAATCGTCCCTCAACTCCAACTGTATAGTTTTCGTCCCTCAACTATCAAAACTAGATAGTTTTCGTCCCTCATGCCGCTTTGGGCGGTTTTAGTACGTGGTGAACAGTAAAATAGAAAAAATAGCAAAAAAAAATCTGAAATTTTACAACGTCGAAGATACTCTGGTGCGCAAGACCCGTGCAAAACTTCGTGCTGTTTCGACATTTGACCAGCTCGTGGCAAACAAAAAACTGTAAATATATAAGTCGGTGAACAGTAAAATAAAAAAATAGCTAATAAAGTCAAAACAGTATGAATTTTTTTGGCATCAAAGAGGCTTGTGTGTGCAACGTTCGTGCAAATTTTCGTGGTGTTTGGGCATTTGTACGAACTCGTGACAAAAAAACAATATTTGGATCAATTTTTTTTAAATGCGCTATTTTGTTTTTTTGGCCAGAGCTCCTAGTATGTCATTTGATCATGAAAATTTGCACGCATCTTACGTACCTGAATTTACTGTTTCACCAATGTACATATTTACATTTTTTTTGAATTTACTGTTTTTTTGGCCAGAGCTCCTAGTATGTCATTTGATCATGAAAATTTGCACGCATCTTACGTACCTGGATCAAGTTTCATATTTTTTCTATTTTTTTGAATTTACTGTTCACCAATGTACATATTTACATTTTTTTTGTTTGTCATGAGCTGCTCGAATGTTGAAACACTACGATACTTTGCACAGGTCTTGCGCACCAGAGTATCTTTGTTACTGTAAAATTTCAGATTTTTTGGTTTATCCCTATTTTTTCGATTTTATTGTTCACCGAGTTACTGTTCGCCACATACTAAAACCGTCCGAAGCGGCACGAGGAACGAAAACTATCCGGTTTTGATAGTTGAGGGACGAAAATTATCCGGCTTGGAGTTGAAGGACGATTTCTAAATTCTCAGAAGAGTTCGAGGACGAAAAATATACTTATCCCTTTATATAAAGGTAATGGTCGCTGCGCCCCTTTGTTATATGAAGAGAAACTAGTGTTGTTGTAGAAAATAAAGTTAGCCAAATCTCAACGGCTGGCTTCATAACATCTCACCAGATTCATATTTAGCAATCGCGTGGATATAGGATTTCCTTTTGATCCCAGTCAAAATACCTAGTGACAATACATGTGAAGCATTGTGCCACATGCCACCATCCAAGGCATATGCTAAGATTTTTAACATGAAATGAAAACGACATAGTCAACCACACAAAACTGTCACCTTATCAGATTTTTTTACCAAACTATTTGCACAAGCACAGCATAACAAAAGAATAAATCAAATCGCTCAAAAAAAAGAATATCAAATTCCAACTCAAAGAAGAAGAATAAATCAGATGGCACGCATGGGTATAAACAGTTACTAGGCTTGGCCATTAAGCCTGACAGGTTTATCCAAACAAGTTGCTCTTTTAATTACACCATATAACAACATACCCACGGCACAGCGCCGAGTATAGGTAAAAACAAAAGGAAAAGGAAAACAAACCCGAAAAGAAAAGTTCTAAGCAGAACATGTCCTTTCTGCAATGTATACATGATGCATATATTTTTGGCTCTACAGAGATATCTTCAACCATCTCACTTCTGGCACGACCGCTGCAAGGGATCCTGCTTCGAAGGACCGTTTGGAGAAACTTTCCCCAAAACATTCAAAGCCTTCATCCGTTGCAGCTCTTTACCTGTGTGATGCAGTGTTAGTGCATGCAGGATGTATGTTCTTAAAACAAATATGCAAGAACTGATCTTGGTAACATGTCGGCCCGATAAATACTTGCCGAATTGGGCCATAATGAAAAGATGGCAAATGCATGACGCACAGATTCAAACAATTAATATCACTCAGGACTTGTAGCGTTGAGATTGCAGAAAACTACATTAAAACATATATTTATTGATGTTGAAACATATTCAGGCAGCGTGTTCCACTATGGATCTCAAATGCCTACTTGCTTGGAATGCTGACACCATATACGGCTGATACACTAATACTGTAACTTCAGAGTTGTTTTATTTCATGCATAGTACAGGCCATGATGAGGTGTTCCAGCCGTCATGCAATATAGTGTGCACATTGCACTCAAATAGAGATACCGTGCATCAGATGCTACCCATACCAATAAGGTTACCACAATATCAAGCTACTGAGATTTTGCAGCATAAATATGCAACATGATAAGACAGTCCAATATGACGGCTGAAATATAAGCTTCAAGAATGATAAGAAAGCAAAATAAGGCAAGTGAAGTATCACCTTCCTCCACTAGGAGGTGTATTGCCCTTTTCTCCAGCTCAATCGCATGCATGCTTCGACCCGCTGCTGAGAGTGACCTAAGCACTGTAATTAGGAGGAAGAAGTCAAATACCCTGTGTGAAAAATCGATTTACAAATTACTAATGTTGCTACCCAAAATTTCTTACTTCGCATATAACCCTCCTGGGGTGACCGATCACAGTTCTCCAAATATGTCTGTAATCGATCATATCTCTCACTCCAGTAAGGATTTTGGTTGCCTGATCTACGGATATCACCTTGAACGGTGGTACTAGGAGCGATAGGTGGCTCGTTAGCAGAAGCAATCGGCAGCTCATTTATCTTTGGTACAGTTTCTGCATGTGTTTCTTCGGGAGATTTAGATGGCTCTAGCCCTCCAGATTCAGTCATTTCAGATGAGACTAGACCTGCAGATTCAGCAATAGTAGGTGCCACTTCTGGCTTATTGACCTGATCATGTTGTACCATTTGCGGTTCCTCCTGCTCTGTTATCATAGGTTCAGCAACAGGAGGTGCCACTTCTGGCTTATTGACCTGATCATGTTGTACCATTTGCAGTTCCTCCTGCTCTGTTATCCTAGGTTCAGCAACAGGAGGAGCCACTTCTGGCTTATTGACTTGATCTGGTTGTACCATTTGCCGTTTCCCCTGCTCTTCTATGCAAGGTTCAGAGATAGGAGGTGCCACTTCTGGCTTATTGATCTGATCATGTTGTACAGTTTGCTGTTCCTCCTGCTCTTTTATTCCGGTTTCAGCAATAGGAGGTGCCATTTCTGGCTTACCGACCTGATCATGTTGCACCATTTGCTGTTCATCCTGACCTTTTATTCCAGGTTCAGGAATAGGTGCCATTTCTGACTTATTGACCTGATCATGTTGCACCGTTTGCTCTTCATCCAGCCCTTTTATTCCAGATTCAGTAATAGGAGGCGCCAATTCTGGCTTATTCACCTGATCATGTTGCACCGTTTTCTGTTCATCCTGCTCTTTTATTCCAGATTCAGAAATAGGAGGTGCCACTTCTGGCTTATTCACTTGCACCATTTGTTGTTCATCCTGCTCTTTTATTCCAGATTCAGCAATAGGAGGTGCCACTTCTGGCTTACTGACTTGATCACATTGCACCATTTGCTGATCCTCTTGCTCTTCTATTTTTTCTCCTCCATTACCCTTCAACTCTTTAGAAGAGCTCACTTTACTATGTTCAGTTTTCACTTTCTGTTCCTCATGCTCCTCTGTTTTCTCGCTTCCACTACCCTTCAACTCTTGAGAAGGGTTCACTCTACTATGCTCAGTTTCCATTTTCTGTATCTCCTGCCCTTTTGTTTTCTCACTTCCACTACCCTTCAACTCTTGAGAAGGGTTCACTTTACTATGTTCAGTTTTCACTTTCCGTTCCTCCTGCTCCTTTGTTTTCTCGCTTCCACTACCCTTCAACTCCTGAGAAGGGTTCACTTTACTATGTTCCGTTTCCATTCTCTGTATCCCCTGCTCTTTTGTTATCTCACTTCCACTACCCTTCAACTCTTGAGAGCAACTCACTTTACTATGTTCAGTTTCCACATTTCGCTGTTCCTCCTGCTGCTTTGTTTTGTCCTTGCCAATAACCTTCATCTCCGGAGACGAGTTCACTTTATTATGTTCAGTTTCCACCTTTCGCCGCACATAAACATTATGATAAACAGGGCTTGAAGGAGCATCAGTATGCAGCCGTTTTGTGCCCACAGCCTTTAAAGGTTCTTCAGCAGCACCTTTATCCTTTGGCGGCAGAGAAGTGCCTTGAGACATATTTATGATGTTTGTACCTTTGTTTAGCAGCTCACGCGATGCTGCTGTTTTCACCGAGAATGCTAATTGCTTGTCGCTAGATGGCATGACTCCTCCAATACTTCTCTACATTATACTTGTTGACGAAACCTGCAACACATGAAATGATTTCCATCAATAAGATGAACATGGACCACAAAAGATAATTGGGAGAAAAAACCAACTGTTCAAATAATGGCAGGAAAGAATAACACTTCAAGGTGACAGTGCAGTGATGTAGCGTTCATGGTTCAGAATTCAGACTTTTGTCTCTAGTTTGTTGCGGGTTCATAAAACTGAGGGCACTTTGATTGGGGCTTTAATTTAAAAAAAATGTGATAATGCTGGATGGCTACATAGAACAACATTTTAATAATTGTTCAAAAGGAACATATACATTGCAACAGTATGCAGCAACTATTTAAGCATTAAAAAGTGATAACATAGCATCTAATACATCAATTGCATGATTTAGTTTAACCAAATTCCAGACAAGGTCATTGTAGTAAAGAACGGGTGAAAGGCATTTACAAACCGTTTCATTAAGAAACACAATAGGCACAAGAGAAACAGGGCAACAAGTGACCACGGTGTCAGCACGCAAAAAGGAGCAACACATAAGACATATACTAAACCCTGCTCCTCATGGAGGTTCAGCTCATACAACCTGGGGTGGTAACCCTGTCTCCACAGCTCCAACTCTATTTTGATACCATCCCCTATATAGTTAGAATACCATGGCTCTCATCTTGGAACAACCTGCTGTTTCTCGCTAGACCCTGCTCCCGACATTGACCATACATGTAGCACCAGTGGTAGTCAAACTCCTGGCCTTTCTCTGGGATTCACTTGTGCCTTTCTATCAACCAGGTGACAGTCCACTAGGGAGTCGTCCGTGAATGCAATGCTGCAAACGTGGCCCAGACCACTGTAGGACGAGCAGCCAGAGCTGCCAAGACCCATGGGCAGCTCATGAATAGATGCCCAGCTCACTCCAGCACTTGTGAGAAAAGAGGACAGGTAAAATGGCTAGGGAGGCTGTGGTGCTCACACCTATCAGCTGCCCAGCAGCGATGCTCAAGCAAGCCAAAGTAAGAACCAGCCCTCTAGCAGAACCCTAGCTTTAGCAGATGGTACCCTGATTTTGCAATTTTCCTCAAGAGAGAACTATGGGGAAAGTTTGCTGTTTAAGAAAAGAAATATAAAGAACTACTCCCTCTGCTCACAAATATAAGATGTTCTATCATTTTTCTGAATCATGTATCTAGACACTTTATAGCGTGTTTGTTCATTCATTTCAGTCCGTATGTTAGTCCATATTGAAATATGCAAAACATCTTGTTTTTGTGAACAGAGGGAGTAGATATTCTTGTTGCAAACTAGCATAATTTGTATAAACCCTGACTTAATTCTCTACTGTTGAAAGAAGAAAAATATTGAGATGTTTGACCTGTGTAGTGAACTAAAAAAACAACAAACCATCATATAAGAGTAACTTTCAAATCAAAACCAGACTGAATAATCCATGGTTTAAAATGGAGACTAAACTGACAGGCAGTACTACCGTGACAATAAACATATAATATTGGTAACACAGAAAACCTAGAACCACATCTAATAATATCCATCTGCAAAACTGCAACTATACGAACATGAAATCATGGGCAGGGGCCGATCTAGAGCTAAACCTACCTTGATGCACCACTTTTCCATGGCTTAAAAATTTCAAACAACAATGTACTGATTTACTGAATAATGGTGCATTTCATGGAATTGTGAAAGACAATGTATTGTACTAAAAAAATCAAATGAAAACCAAAATGATTGATATAATGGTGAAACAAAGGATAAAAATGATAACATTTCCAAAGTGATAAAAGAGAACGTGTTAGCTGAAAAGGCAATGCATGCATATCTCACTTGGATTAGCTTTTGAAACAACAGCTCATTCGTTATTCCACGTATAATGATGAAGTATCTTCCATATTATGACGTTTCAGTAAGATGTCACATTAAAAATGAAACTTTGACGGTTAACTTTTTTTTATCATACTTTGTTACTTGTTAGTGCAAGTAGCTAGAAATCATGCTCACACAAAGAACTTTCAAATAGGGTATGGTAGTATGAAACCACCTTAGTGTCGTTAAACACATATGCTATTGGACTTGTTACTGGACAAACATCAATAAGATTTTGGAACCCGCAGGTGGCAGAAATCAACAGAGAGAGTACAATCAAATACTCCCTCTGTAAAAAGAAATATAAGACATTTCAGATCACTACTTTAGTGATCAATACAAGACGTTTCAGATCACTACTTTAGGGAGTAGGACATTACTGAATGAATGCACAATCATACTGCAATCACATTGTTTAGACAGTAATCAAAAGACAAAAGGAACGCAGATATATCCAGATAGAATCTAGTTCACATGTCCTGTTAGATAACTTCTATGTATAAACGTTTTTTGATTCAAACAGCATAGAAGATCAATCTCTTTAGCACAAGGAACTTGAGAAGATAGACTTCTGGTAAGTAAAAGCAAAGCCAGCAAGATCTAGCAAAGTAATCTCATCAAAACAAACAATGTATCAAATATTAGATCTAGTCAAAATGAACAACCATATTTGTATATCTAGTGCAGACTGCAGTAAACCATGAAAAAATAATCACAATGAGTTTATTCACAATAAATATTAAGTCTTTTTGTCTCATTTTGATTATGTTGAAATGGCATCTTGTATGATTTTCAAGTATGAATCATAGCAACTTATAAGTCAGCATGAGAGAATAGTAACATCAGCAATTTTTACAATGATATCATGAAGATCTTTTCATGATATCCCAAACTAAGTGAAACAGAAACATAAATTCTTTATGCACAATTAATACATGTACTATGATCAAGTGGCGCTATAAGGAGAAAATCCCCATCTTTATTTTTCTTAATGACCTACGGCAACTGCTACTTGAAATAGCATCTGTCCACATGCACAAACAATTAAATCAGATAATCAAAGGGGAAACCACACTAACGCAGATTATTACCCTATAATGGTTGGATAATAAAATGGAGATAAGCGGGAAATCTCGTCTGTTTGAAACTAAACTTACAATATCTGATGCCATATCCCTTATGGCAGCTATCACCTAAATGGCATCTCGTTCACATTCACAAACAATTAAGGGAATCATAACTTCAGCAATTATTTACCATGAGCCAAGCTATTCTTTATATCTCCTAGTGACAGCAAAACTGCAAAGGACCAAATGCAGAACTAGTACTACAAAATTTAGGTCTTCAGTCTTCTCATGATCTTTTTCTTGGATTTATGGTAATTTCATGACACCCTTGAACTAAGCAAAACACAAAATAACTGTTGTCAAAACATAAGTTCTTTATGCACAATTAATTACAACATCTACTATGATCAAGTGGCGTTATAAGCAGCAGATCCCCATCTTTATGTTTCTTAATGACATATGGCAGCTGCCACCTAAAATAGCATACGTACACTTTCACAACCAATTAAGTCAGATAAACAAAGGGGGAGCTACACTGATGCAGATTATTACACTATAATGGCTGGATATTAAAATGAAGATAGGCCGGAAATACCACCTAAAACTAAACTTACCATATCTCATGCCGTATCTCGTGCACATTCAGAAACAAGTAAGTCGGACGATCAGAGGGCGGAAACACCAATTAAGCCACGACTGAATTGCTGAATGGACACTGGCATGGATCACAAGGTGCTTTAACAACCCCCTTCCTAGTTCGGAGGGGATTAAATCTGGAATTAACACAGCATGCCTCCCTCCACACATTTACTTACTTCCATATACTACCAGCATCAAGGATTTGGTTCTAGGCAACAATTGTAAAATATAATAAAGCCCAGCAGTAACGTCAACTGGCACTTGGAGTAACCACAGTATGTGTACGCACTGAACAAAACATAACCAAAAGCAGAGAATTGCTATCCATCCGATTGCATACTTTGCTATCCTTTATCACCTAGTGACAGCAAAAGCTGTAAAGCAGCAAATGTAGTACTAGTGCAACAAAATTTGAGGTCTTCAGTCTTCTCACGATATTTTTCTTGGATTTAAGGTAATTTCATGAGATCCTTGAACTAACCAAAACACTAAATAACTTTTGTCAAAACACAAGTTCTTTATGCACAATTAACTACATCTACTATGATCAAGTGGCGTAATAAGCAGCAGATCCCCATCTTTATTTTTCTTAATGACATACGGCAGATGCTTCCCAAAATAGCATACGTACACATTCACAATCAATCAAGTCAGACAAGCAAAGGGGAATCACACTGATGCAGATTGTTACACTAATGGTTGGATATTAAAATGGAGATAGGCGGGAAATACTGCCTAAAACTAAATTTATACCATATCTCATCCCACATCCCTTATGGCAGCTACCACCTAAAATGGCATCTCATTGAAAATTGAGGGCGGATTAAGGGCATCTTGTTGACAATTAAGGGCATCTCATCCCACATCCACACAGATGCAGATTATTACACTATGTGTTCACATTCAGAAACAATTAAGTCGGACGATCAGAGGGCGGAAACACCAGCAATTAAGTCACGACTGAATTGCCAAATGGACACTGGCATGGATCACACGGTGCTTTAACAAACCCCTTCCGAGTTCACAGGGGATTAAATCTGGAAGTAACACAGCATGCCTGCCTCCCCACATTTACTCACTTCCACATAGTACTTATCACCATCAAGGATTTGATTCTAGGCAACAATAGTAAATAAAATACAATGAAGCCCGGCAGTAATGTCAACTGGCACTTGGGGTAACCCCAGTGTGTGCGCGCACTGAACAAAACCTAACCAAGAGCAGAGCAATTGCTATTCATCCGATTGCACACTTTGGCATCCAACGGAAGCAGAGGAAATGGACGGTGCTAGCCCGTCGGCCCGCCGGAGGGGGCAGGGCTCCCCGGGGATCACCCGTTCGTGCTACCCAACGCGGAGATTCCGCCGCTTCCTCTCAAAACGGGCGCACGCAATCTCTACACGATTCCAGCGGAACCGCGGCAAAACCGATCGGCGGGAAACCGAATGCGGTGGCGGGGGGAAAGCGGGACGTGGGCGCGGGGGCGCGGGCGGAGGACTCACCCGGGATCGGCGGTGCCGGTGCCGGTTGCGCCGCTGGGAAGAGCCGTTGCCCGGGCGCGTACTGGATGGAGACGCGGGGGTGTGATGGTGGGTGGCTGGAGGGAAGCCGCGGGGGGTTGCCGGCGGCGAGGTTGCGGCGGAGGAGGCCGGGCGAGCGGGCTGATCGGCGGGGAGGATTCGAGGGGAGGAGATTGGCGTCGGGTAAAGAGGGAGGGAGAGAAGCAGATGCGGTGGTGATGTTGATCCGCGGGCAGGGAATCCAACGGAAAACTGTGGGGCGGCGCCGGCCGTAGGATCGGGCTGATCCGTGGATCGACGGTGGAGGGGGCTTCAGCGGGTTGTTCTATGGGAGGGGGGAATGTGGCGTGGATGGAGTGCGCGATTTGATGGCATGCCTTGTTTGGATTGCGGTTACACTGGTTGACTATGCTCATTTAGTGAGTATATATTTATATATTTATTGCTTGGATTGCGGTTACACTAATTAACGCGCGAGCGGATAGGTACACGTTTTCGCCCTCGGGTGTAGACGGGACGGCGAGAGACAACGCGGAATAGAGGAGGGATCTGGGCGTCGTGTTTCAACATTGTTTATGGACCCTCATAACCAGCGAATGTTCATTGTGGGATGCCAATTATGAATGATATTGGTGGCAATTTGTGTTGGCTGACGATAGCAGATTTAGCTCAATATGATGGCAACTTCTATTCGGTTCTGTTTTTTTTTTCGCCTAAAAACTGTCGTGCGTGCAGACTAAAACTGCCATCCTTATCCTTATGATGATATAGATTGCCATGAAAGGACATTCACAATCGCCATACCTCCCAACGAACGTTACCTGAATAGCATTATCGTTGCTTATTACCCGCCGAAGCGGTGGCGAGCAGCGACACCCACGTCGTCGAGTAGGAGGGCGAGGAAAGAAAGGCGGCGTTGTGCTTGGCCGCGACAACGACGGCCCGCGGCTAGCAACCCGATGTCGGACGGCGGTGATGTGCACCGGCGACGACGATGCCAAGACCAGCGTCGTCGAACGGGGAAGAGGAGGGGGGACCACGGGGCGGGGAGAGAAGGGGGCGAAGGGGTCAAACGCGTTGACAGATGTAGCGGGCGCTCGGTCTGAGCGAGACGGTCGTCGTTGGTGGGCTATTGTGTGCGTGTACACATTCGATACGACGACGCGTACGATACGATACAGGCAGCAGCCCCGCCCCCCTCCCCCTCTTCCTTCCCGTCGGTTTCTTCTCTCCTCGCGCTGCCGGTACAGAGGAGGGGAGGAGAGGAGGGGCGGGGGCTCGCCGTTCGCCCGCCCAATCCCGCCGCCCGCCGCTGCCCGGAGCGATCCACCGCCCGCCCACCTCCTCCGCCCCGCCGACCGACCCCGCCGACGGGCCGCGGCCGGGGTGACCGAAATCGGGGCCCTGCTCCCCCTCCCTCGCGGGTCCAGTTCACACCGTTTCTTCCCCGGGCGCGGCACCCGGCAGAGGCCCCCCTCCCTGCCCCGATCTGTATCCGCCCCTCTCCCCCCCGCGTAGCACCCGGCGCCGCTCGACGCGTCCCGCCGTCGCCGTTCGCCGCGCCGACGCCGGCTGCCCCCCGCCCCACCGGATCGCTGCGTCGGCCGCCAGCGCCAGCTCCTCCTCCCGTCCACGCCCGCGGGCCCCGTCGCGGGAGGTCGATCTCGGTCGGTACCTTTCGTTTTCCTTCTGCTCGCGAAGTTTAACTGTCGGACCGCTCTATCTGCGTTCAGTACCTGTTCTTTACCTCTTCTATTATTGCATTTATCTGTTTTTGCTAGCTGTGTCCTTGTGCTGTGGAGACAACCAGAACTGGGCAATCCGGGTAGCGGTCAGTAGCTTCTGCAGCGTGTGATCCAAATGCAGAAGAACCCTCCCTGTAATCTGTAAACATGCAGGGATGCGCTAATAGGTGGAAACGCCCTAGTTTCCTCCAATCCAGAAAGGGGAGCATTTCCATACTCGTGCGGTTGTAGTTTTCTGTTAGTTGTTAACCGTTAGCGGTTGGTCATCGTGCTCCTAGTCTATCTGGTAAGCAGCGGTCTCTTAGCGTTCTCTGTGAAGCTCTGCTGCTCGGCGATCAGTAGCCAGGGTGGAAAACAGGGGTGCAGGTGATCTAGGGACATGCTGGGATTTTCATGTGGGGAAGATGAAAGTCGCAGAGAAGGGACAGAAATCGCTTAGATGGGAAACCGCTGAATCCTGATTAAGCATTTCTCTACCTTCCTTTAGTTCTGCATTGCACATGTTTTATTGCATCTTGTATAATAGTAGCACATCCGTAAGTCCTACTCTTCGAGGTATCATATAACATAGTACAATCTACCTTCCTAAGCTTTAAGTTCTCAAAGGATGCTGCTAGTGATAGAAAATTTCAGCCTTAAGAGTACCTGTTGACAAGTTGGATTGGCTCTGTGGGGATCCTTGCTTGATCTCTATCCGTCGTGCTAGCTATTTCTGCGACCTGGATGGTTATTTATTGGTTAGCTGCGTGAGGGCATTCAAACGGTTGTACATTTCTTACACGAAAAGCGATCTACTAAGCTGACGAGGCTTGATGATTGTATGCCATCCTTGAGCATCTAGTATGTCTTCCAAAATGTGTAGCTACCATTTCTGTGTGCCCTAACACAATTGGTTGATTGCAGATAACGGTGTTCCTTCATTGCCATTTGGGAAAATATGGGTTGGTTGACCAAGTTTTTTAGAGGTTCAACCCACAACATCTCGGAAGGGCGAGAGCAAAGCAAGCCTGCAGAAGAGACAAGATGGAATGAACCCTCCACTTCCACTGTTGTGATTGTAAGTACTCCAGTGTGATACACTACCCTCTCTGCAAAAAGGGTTCAACGGTGTTCCAATGTACGATGCAGTACCCTTGCCATTTTATTTATCTGAATGGGGAAAGGAGACACACATGAATTGAGCTTTACGGAAGCTCCAATGGCACCCATGTGTATAGTAAAAGGATATTTCGCTTTGCTGGGCACTCTGTTTATAAGTTATATGCCACTGTGGAAAATGTATAATTACCGTTTCCCAAATATGCTACATCTATATTTTATATGAAGTCTTGACCACTCACTTTTTATAGCGGCCGTTGTGTCTATGGAAAAAGTTCCGAAATTACAGATAATCTCCCACAAAACTGCAATTATCGTATTAACAATAAGACTTACAGCACTTCCATCACAGCTTAATAAGTGTTAAACCTTGTTACTGATGCAAGGAGCACGTATCAACGGAGATATGAATCTATCCTTGATCAACAGCAATAGATGCCTCACCTTTAATCGCGTGCTAGCTTGTGCAACTTAGATTCCAGCACTATGCCTTTGACGGAACTGGTGATTGCAAGTGGTGGTGTATTCAGGAGCGCCACACAAGTGCTGTTCGACTTGCTGGCAGTGCCATTCATGGCTGCTGGTCTCGACAAACCAGATATCCCTGAGATGTGGTGTGCAATAGAGGCAGTGGACCCCATCAGGCCCACTCGTTACGTGCTGCCCACGATAACACTTCTTGCACACCTCTGATGCTCACCATCTGCCGGATTTAGTGTTTTAAGGGGTCTGCAGGTTATATATGTAGTTCCAGTACTTTGGAGGTGCATAGATGCAATTGCTCCTTGTTGTAGAACACATCATTACCATCAAAGGAAGGCCACCTTATTTGTCGTTTATCTGTCTCACTAAATGATACTCCCTCCGTCCGGAATTAATTGTCGCTGAATTAATATGTAGTTCTAGATACACTCATTTCAGCGACAGTTTATTCTGGACGGAGGTAGTATTAATTATTTTCCATCTGCCATTGGTAAACGTATTTTGACTGAGATGCATGCATAGATATATGAACCAGCCAATTTCTTTACTGTTTTTAAGGGGTCTGCAGGTTTATTCATGTAGTTCTAGTACTTTGGAGGTGCATAGATGCAATTGCCCCTTGTTGTAAAACACATCATTAGCATCAAAGGAAGGCCACCTTATTTGTCGTTATCTGTCTCACTAAATGATACACTCTCTGTAAAGGAATATAAGACGTTTTAAATCACTACTTTAGTGATCTAAAACGTCTTATATTACTATACAGAGGTAGTATTAATTATTTTCCATCTGCCGTTGGTAATTGTACTTTGACTGAGATGTATCCATAAATATATGAACCAGCTAATTTCTGCGTGACTATTCCTCTAAATTCTCGTTTGAGCGCTAATTAATTTGGAATATACCAAGCTTATATACTGTTATGTTGGTATTTAAAATTTAATGTGAAAAGGAAATAAAAACCATTTCTTTGACTATGTAGCTGATCCAGTTCCTGTACTTGATGTAGGATCCCCTTTCGGAATTTGATAATGAGGATATTGACCGTGCTATAGCACTTTCTCTATTAGAAGAGGAACACAGAAAACCAAAGGAAACAGGTTAGTACTGTATTTATTACACGTGCTGCTGAAATGCTCATTGCCCAGAAGCATGCTTTTTCATTGGTGTTTGTCCTCTTATATTTTTCTTATGCCTTGATTTCTGCTGAGGTTCTACTACTACTAGTACTACTACTGCAAAAGTTTTTTGGGCTAGTTTATTGTAGATTATTGTTGGCATTTGTTGTTTCAGAGCTTGGATGATCTTTACCAATTTGCATGTTTGAATAAGAACGCAGTGAGACTTACCTAGTTTTTAATGGACAAACTTTCTTATAGATGTCCTTGGACTGTGGATGTAAGTAAAATCGAACAGAGCATAAATAATTTCATATTGTAATAAGGCACGTGGCTAATGTTTTTTCTTCTGGCAACTACTTGATTGTTATAAGTAGTTTATTTCTCATATAATTTGGAGAAAATTGTGGTGCAAATTCTATTGCTCTAGATGTAGCAATCAAAATTCCTGGGATAAACATTTGCATATATTCGTTACTGTTGTTTTGGGCTGTGAGTTAGATCACTGAGACATGACACCATAGTCAGAAATAAAAATGATGTGTTGTTTGGATGTTCCTATCAAGCTATTCAAGCTCACTGTAGTCTCCAGTCTTCCATTTCCTTATGACCGTACATTTGAAATGATATTTAGTTTGTAATACTTTCTTTTTTATTTGTTTTTTCCTTTTAGGAAAGGATCTGCATTTAGATGAGGATGAACAACTGGCAAGAGCTATTCAGGAAAGTTTAAATGTTGAATCACCCCCTCGTGCTCATGAAAATACCTCACCCCCTCGTGCTCGTGAAAATAGCGCACACCCTCGTGCTCGGGAAAATGGCAGCGCCAACGGTGGCAATTCATATCAACAGTTACCATTTATGTTTTCGTCTGGATTCAGGTTTGTATTAGTGTATTTAGCATGCTAAGATTTTATTTGTATGTTCTGTTTTGAGTTAATTGACGTGAAGTGCCACAAATTTGAACTGCTATGAGAATTAACCAGAAAGAAAGTATTATAAGTAAAATCCAGATCCATAGAAGCTGTCTGCTAGACGTACTATCATGTGAACATGTCATGTTGACGTTGGTAATTCATTCCCTGAATATCGTGTTTTGTTTAAGAGTTTCACATGATCATCTTAGTGATAATGTGTATTGGGTGAGAACTTATAATTTGAGTTTGCATATCCACTAGGAAAGTAAAAGGCCACCCCCCAACCCCCAACAATGTTTTCTGAAAAAAGAAGTGCAGCTGGGCAGTTTTTATCTGAATTTTGAAATTTATGCGTTTAACATGTGCAATTTTTCGGTCCTTCGTACATGGATTCAAATGTCCTTTAGAAAAAAATCAAACTGTGGTTTGAAATGTGGAGCTCCAGGATAGACATGAAAGAAAAAACTCGCCAGACTTGATTTGCCACTGTCTTATTCGATAAACCATTTCATGTGTATTGAAGCGCGGAAAGACACCATAGGGTGCGATACTGTGAATTACACCTTCACATGAAGTGCCCTGGGTGAAATCTGCCGATGCTGTCAAAAGAAAAGAACAAGATACCTGGTAAACAAAACAAGAGTGTATAATTAGTTTCTTAAAGCATGCCAGGAGAGTGTTGTGTTGGTCCAGAGCACTGTGATTGCAAGCAATTATAGGAGTTACCGGTAATCTGTGGCTATATTTGATGTTATATGCACTTATTTTCTCAGGACATGCGCTGGATGTCACAATGAGATTGGCCATGGACGTTTTCTTAGTTGCATGGGAGCTGTTTGGCATCCAGAGTGCTTTTGCTGCCATGCTTGTAATCAGCCAATATATGACTATGAGGTAGCTCTTTGTTGTTTTGTGTACTAATTAAGCAGTTTGCATTTGTATACTGACTTTACCAACAAAAACATGCAGTTCTCCATGTCGGGAAACCATCCATACCATAAAACTTGTTACAAGGAGCGCTTTCATCCAAAATGTGATGTCTGCAAGCAATTTGTAAGAATCACTTCATTATCTTTTCTTATCTGTTTGCATAAGATGATTCTCTTTGTTCTGCATTTTATATGGCAACCTTCGCATAGAAAATAATAATCTAATATTAATTTCCTTCAAAAAATAATGTGTTTATTGAATGAATTGATTTCTTTTTTATATGGTTGCATTTGCTATTCTGTAAGCCTGGAAGCATGTAGACAGTGACAAACTATATCCCGTGAAAGTTTTTTGTTTAGTGGCTTTGATTTTGATTTTATTTTTTTATGCACCATCTTGTGATCCCTTCTTGTTCAGATTCCTACAAATATGAACGGCCTTATCGAATATAGGGCACATCCTTTTTGGTTACAAAAGTACTGTCCATCACATGAGGTGGATGGTACTCCAAGATGCTGTAGTTGTGAAAGAATGGAGGTATGTTCAGCTATCTTGTTTGCTTCTAGAGTTTTGATCTTGAGCATACTTGGTTACATAAGTTGCTGTCTCCAAACCTTGGCTCACTTCATTCCAATATGGTTCATTTACTTGTCAGCCAAGGGAATCAAGATATGTATTGCTTGATGATGGTCGTAAACTCTGCCTGGAGTGCCTTGACTCTGCAGTGATGGATACAAATGAGTGCCAGCCTCTTTATCTCGAAATACAGGAGTTTTATGAAGGTCTCAATATGAAAGTGGAACAACAGGTTCCTCTGCTTCTTGTAGAAAGACAGGCTTTAAATGAAGCAATGGAAGGAGAGAAAACTGTATGTCTGTTGAACCAAACTACCATTAATTCTTCAGTTTCCTCTATCCTATTAGTTGTAATTATATTGTTTGTGTGGAAACCAGGGTCACCACCACCTTCCTGAAACCAGAGGTTTGTGCTTATCGGAAGAGCAGACTGTCAGCACGGTGAGAACTGTTCCAACCACAAGATAACTTGTTCTTTCATCATTTGACTGCTAGGTTCTGACTATGTAATAATGTAATTTTCAGATATTGAGGAGACCAAGAATGACAGGAAACAAAATTATGGAAATGATAACAGAGCCGTATAGGTTGACACGGCGATGTGAAGTGACTGCAATTCTCATTCTATATGGTCTCCCAAGGTGAAGCATTAATTTTCTGCTTCATAATGTCAGAATTGTCTCTGTAAAGAAATAACAATGTCACAATCAACAGCTTCCAGTTGAAAAGCAATAGAAACAGTTACTGATATAGGTCTGTTTCAACTGATTTAGTATAATGTTCCTTTCGTGTTGTCAAAGAAGATATGAATTACATGGATAATTTAAAGATATTCTGGGCTACGGATTTACTCAAGGGAGCTAATGAGCAAAAACATTATGTTGTGCTTCATCAATGGATCTTGTCCTGTTACTTAAAGAATCACTGTCTCATGATCTGCATCTTTTGTTGTTCAAACCTGATGAACTCTGAATGTGTTTCTATGACTGCGAGTCTCTAATAAGTTCTTGTTCTTGCAGATTGTTGACAGGTTCAATTTTAGCTCATGAGATGATGCATGCATGGTTGCGACTTAAAGGTTGTCTTTCATTCTTGTGGTATTTAGATATTGTGTTGGTAATAAGATATCACACTGACTCGTAGTGCCTGAAAGCCGGAGAGTAAGAATTAACTTACTAAATACCACGTCTTCGCTCTCATTAAACAATTTTTTAAGATAATCAACAGGTGGAGAGTGAGTCCCCGCCTGAATCACAAACAGTTTAGTAACAGCCATTGAAGTGGTATTAAATTGTACTGTTATGAGTCAATGGAGACCTGGTCTTTAATATTATGCACTTTATCGCTAATTATGCTCTACTGGGTGTTACATGAGTTTTATTTAAGCATGTAAAAGTAGTTTTTGTAATGAATCTGCTAGTGCTTTGCTCACAGTAAAGACTAAAGGTCGTCATGTTTCAAGATTTTTACCAGAAGTTGCGATTCTCTTTTTGCTTAGAAAGCTTGTACAAGCCTGGTGAGGGATGATGAAGAGTTTTCCTGCCAGGGCCAGAATCTTACATTCTGCTGAGGCAACTGAACTTAGAACCAAGAATGAGCAACTGAACTTACTGAACTACTCACTTAGATCTTCTGGGCTTGAAGTAGTGTTATCTTGCTATGAGACTTTGAACCAATTGCTGGTAATCCCGATTCAAGAAGTCAATAATCACAAGTATATTGGCAATGACAAGACAATCAACACTAATTTATCTACTAAGAAAAGTTTGCATCAGCTTATTATACCATTTATAAGTATCTACTGTCTAATGGAATAATGAAGATGGACATTCCAGGCTAATGAGTATGTGCATTTCACAGGATACCGCACGCTCACTCCAGATATAGAAGAGGGCATATGCCAAGTCCTCGCCCACCTGTGGATCGAGTCAGAGATCATGGCAGGATCAGGCAGCAATGCCGCATCGACATCCTCGTCCTCTTCGTCATCCACATCCTCTAAGAAGGGCGGGAGGTCTCAGTTCGAGCGGAAGCTCGGTGACTTCTTCAAGCACCAGATCGAGTCGGACACCTCCGTTGCCTACGGGGATGGTTTCAGGGCTGGGAACCGGGTTGTTCAGCAGTATGGCCTGAAGCGCACCCTCGAGCACATCCGGCTGACAGGGACATTGCCATTCTGAGAGTGTCAGAGATGCACCTTTCTGCGGAAGTTATATACCGATTTGTCATCGAGAGTCCATTTACAGGAAAAAAAAGGGAAATGAATTTTGAAATGCACAAATTGTACAAACGTTCGGTTGATATTTTTTCTTGGAAGGGCTGAGCACAGTATATTATTAGAGATGCATTGAGGTGGCTTGCCCTGACCAATCTGTTGTATTGAGGGAGATCAAAAATGGAAATGGAAACAGTGGTATTTCTTATGTGACCATAAAGTTAATAAGGAAAAGTACACTCCATATATATGCCGTGGCCTCGTGGGTGATACTGCGCGCCATCTTTTGGTTTGTGATTACAAGAATATACATCTATCTTGTAATGGTTTGCGATTACAAGAATATACATCTATCTTGTAATGTTAACTAGATGGAAAAAAGATAAGGCTATCTTGGGTAACTATTTGTCCCCTCCACAGCCTACCCAATAGATAAATAGTGTTAAGCGTCCCTGGTCACCTGCCAATGTCCTATTCTGTAACTTGATATTACTCCCTCTGGAAAGAATTATAGAGTAAATTACATAGAAGTACCACAATTGGGGCATTGGAAGCAGATTGGTACCAAGATTGGTAATTTTTATGTGTCAGTACCAAGATTGGGGCGAGCCGTTGCAAAAAAGACTAAAAGTGCGTTTTATACGTATTGACAGAAAAGCTGACCGGTTGGGCCCGCCCGTCAGGCGCCACGCTGGCCAGTGCGCGCGTGCCCGCGCGCTGACTAGGACGAGGCTGGCTCGCACCGTTTAGGTCTCGCTGGTGCGACCGAGCCAGACCCCGACCCCGCTCTGCCCTCGCACCCTCGCCGGCGGCTGCCTCCCCGCCCGCCCCGCCGCCCGCCACAGCACGCCGCCGTAGCCTAGGATCAAAGTACTTAGGCACTGTCACCTCCCCCGCGGCTGCTCCTCCCTCGCGCCCTCCTCTACCCCCCGGCTGTTGTGCCTCCCTAGGCGACGATGGCCTCGGCGACTCCGGCAGGCGGCGATGGCCGGGGCGATGTGAGCGGCGGCGACCTCCCCCGCTTAGGCCTCGATGGCAGTGGCGGCTACTCCAGCTCGGAGTACAGTAGCGAGGACGAAGATTTTGCGGAGCCAGCGTTGTCGATGGAGCAGAGGCTGCAGTTGGCGCGAATTTGGGTGGCCAACCCTAGCACCGCCCATCAGTGGACTCATGGCTTCAGTGGTGTTCTGTAAGTGGTCAACTGTTCCATTCTTGCTCACTGAAATTGGGGATTAGGGTTAGGTTTCTACTGCCTGCATGTTTAGCACTCTAATAGCTAGTCCTAACTAGAGCAGAGAAGTATAGTGGATTACATTGTTATTTGTTAGTCCAAATTGTCAGAGCACCATTATGTGTTACCTAACTGGAGCAGAGCAGAGCATCATTAGTGGCTTACATTGTTATTTCTTAGTCCTAACTAGAGCAGGGCACCATTAGAGCAGAGCACCATTAGACCAGAGCAGAGCAGAGAAGCATAGTGGATTAAATGAGTCCTAACTAGAGCAGAGCGCCATTAGTGGACAACTCTGTTAACTACTTATATGAAAATACAAAACATCAGTTTGCTGTGAGTTAAGTACCCACTCTGTAATTATGGTTGCATTGAGATAGTTGTTTACATTGTTTGATTTTGTAGTAATTGTTTAGTTTATTCATATTGCAAGGCTAAATTAAACAAAGCTTTGTTTATATGTTAGCCTATCTGTTAAGCAAAATTGTTTATTAACCAATTTTGTCTGTTATTTCATTTTGCAGTTTGTATGATGACATTTTGGATGTTAGGTTCCATTTTGATGCTTCAGAAATGTTTGAGCTGAAGCTCTGCAGTTCAGATGTGACATACATGAATATGATTGCAGTGATGGAAATCCAAGGATTTAGTGAATATGATCTGTTGTTTCACATTGAGAATCCAGATTTAGGGGAGAAAGGATTGGAGATGGTAGAGAGTAATGCTGAGTTGCAACTAGTAAAGAGGCAGGTTGAGGAGTGTAAGGTTTTAAATTTGTTAGTGAGAGCATGCCCACCTCCTTGCAGCCAGTTTGAGAGGCAAGATTTATCCACTGTTCCACCTCCTTGCAGCCAGTTTGAGAGGCAAGAATTATCCACTGTTCCACCTCTTTGCAGCCAGTTTGAGAGGCAAGAATTATCCACTGTTGTGTATGAAGAGCCTGTGTTATATGATCTCAGTGAGCCACCCATCTATGTTGTTGATGAAGAAGGAGTTGCCTTTGAAAGTCAGAGTAGCAGCTTCAGTGTAGCTCATGGTACCGGTGTTTGCACACAAGAGAGCAAGAATGTAAAAGGAAAACTGAAAGCTGTGTTGGAAATAGAAGAAGAAGAGGGATATGATGGCAGTGGTGGTTCTGATTGTGAAGGTGAAGATGACAGTGATGTAAACCCTTTTTATATGGGTGATGCTGGTGATATAGAGATGGAGGAGGGAAAGAAACAGAGAGAGTATGATGAAATAGAAGAGGAAGAAACAGATGATGAAGAATCTAAGGTGGAAGAAGTGGTGCATTATGAGGGTGACACAGAGGTTGAGGAACCTTTCCAAATGGATGAAGATGAGAAAGTTGTTTCACAGGATGAAGAAATTGTAATTGTACAGGAAGAGAAGAAGAAGAAGAAGAAGAAACAGAAGCTTCTAGTTAGGAAAGGGCCTACAACAAGGACACATTCAAGTGTAGTTCAAGAGGAGGAACCTGATTTCAAACCTTCATCTGATGAAGAAGAGAAAGGATTGTTGAAGGAGGCTGATGATGATGGTTATGAGCCATTGTCATTTGTACTGCCAAAGAAAAGGAAGAGCAGGGCAAAGCAGAGGCCTCCTAGAAAATGGTACAATGAGAAGATGGAGGCACCACATGAGCAATTATGTCTAAAGATGTGTTTCTTGGATCAACATCAATTCAGAGAGGCTTTGTTGAACTTACACATCACTCAAGGCAGAAACTTCAGATATCATAGGAACTCATATCAAAGAATAATTATAGAATGCAACCAAAAACATTGCAACTTCTTTATGGTGACAACAGTTATAAAAGGTGAAACTACTTTTGTAATTAAGAAGATGAGAATTAAGCACACTTGCCCTATTAGTACAGAGACAACAAGGGTAAGTGCCAAGTGGCTTGCACAGAAGTATGAGTCACTGTTCAGATCTGATCTAACAACTGGCATTCAGACTTTGATTGATGCCTGCATGGAGAAGTATGGTGTGGATGTGCCCAAGTCAATGGCATATAGGGCAAAGAACCTAGCTATTGATGCTGTGCTAGGAGACCACAAGAAGCAATACCCTAGGTTGAAAGACTATGCTCAGACAGTGATGGATACAAACCCTGGGAGTAGAGTAGTTGTCACTACTGTAACTCCAACACCCAATACAAAAATCCCCCATCCAGGTCCAAGATTTCATGCTATGTTCCATTGTATCAATGGAGCAAGGGAGGGGTTTCTCAAGGGGTGCAGACCATTCATTGGTTAGTTTGTTCACCTTGTGCATTATCTACATATTGTTTCATCTTGAAATGCATTTGAATGTTCTAAATATTGAATTTGCTTGCTCATTTAGGTGTTGATGGGTGCTTCATTAAGTTAACTACTGGTGCTCAACTACTTGCTGCCACTGGTAGAGATGGCAACAACAATATATACCCACTAGCATTTGGTATTGTTGGGCAAGAGCACAAAGCTAATTGGTGTTTGTTTCTACACCAACTTAAAATCTGCCTAGGAGGAGAAGAGGGACAGTTTGGTCCATATACAATAATGTCAGATAGGCAAAAGGTATGTGCTTGCATCTTATGTCCTTGTTCCTATAAGGTTGTTTTGTGCTAGATATTAGCTTAGCTAGTTTAATTGTGTATCCCAGGGCCTACTATATGCAGTGAATGCTGTCTTTCCTAAGTGCAACCAAAGGTTCTGCCTTAGGCATATCTATGCAAACTTCCAAACTCCTGGGTTTAGGGGGGAAGATCTCAAGAAGTGTATGGATAATGCTGCCTATGCATATAGTGAACACAAATTTAACATTGCAATGAATGACCTTAGAGCTAAATGTAAGGAAGCTTGGGAGTGGCTTTGTCAAATACCTAAGAAAACATGGGCAAGGCATGCATTTGACACAAACTCCAAGACTGACCTTGTAGTCAACAATTTGTCTGAGGTGTTCAACAAGTATGTCCTAGATGTTAGGAAGAAACCAATTAGGACAATGTGTGATGGAATAAAGGATAAGCAGATGATGAGGTGGCATAGGAATAGGGAGAGTGCAAAGATAGCTTGATGGGACATAACACCCCATTATAGTGAGAAGCTAGAGGTTGAGGAGAGGGCCAAATATTGCAAACCAATTCAAGCTGGTGTGGACTTGTGGCAAGTTACAAGTGGGCAGCAAACCCATGTTGTTAACTTGCAAGTGCACACATGTGGGTGCAGAAAATGGGACCTCAGTGGCATCCCATGTAACCATGCCATCTCAGCAATAAACAAGGGCAAAAGAAAACCAGAGGATTATGCCAGCAAGTTCTTCAAGAAAGAATTTTATGTGGTAGCTTATGAACCAATGATCTATCCAGTTCCTGGTGAGCATGACTGGACAAGGACCCCTGGTCCTGACATTGACCCACCTGCATTTAAAGTGAAGAGAGGAAGAAAGAAAGAGAAAAGGATCAAGGGGAAATTTGAAGTTCCAAAGCCTAAGGACACATCCATAATGGGGACTATAACATGTGGCAATTGTGGACTACAAGAACATAGGTACACTAGCTGCATGAAGCAGTTGAAGCCTGAGCTGGCTTTGAGGAAGAACAAACATGTGGTAATCCTCTTATAAGTAGTAACATGTTTCCCTTCTTGTACATTCCATTTTTAAGTACTAACTCATTTTCCTTCTTGTTTATGCAAGCCTCTTGCAAGGAATCCCAATGCTGGTGCTGCAGCTACTACACCAGCAGCAAGAACTTCTCAACCAGCTCCTACAACAACACCAACAGCTGGAATAGGAGGTGCTGGGAGAGGTGCTGGGACAGGAGCTGGGAGAGGAGCTGGTAGAGGTGCTGGGAGAGGTGCTGGGAGAGGTGCTGCAGCTGCAGGTGCTGGGAGACGTGCTGGTAGAGGTGCTGGGAGAGGGAGAGGTACATTCTCTGCCCCAAGGCAATCTGGTCCATCCACATCTACTGCTGGGACAGGTGCTGGTGTTACACATAGTGGATGGAGGAGGTACTTCTATGCAAGTGGCAACTAGATACTTCATGTGTGTGTTCTTGCATCCTATGATACAATGGCGATCTTGCTTTGATGATGTACTTTAAAAATCAATGCCATGTATGGCTTTTGTTCATGTGGATGCATATTATTGGATATCTTCATGTGATATGTTGATGAGTACTCAATATATTATTGGATATATTGCTGGAGTTATTGATATTTTGGAGTTATTGATGAGTACTCATTATATTGGATATCTTCATAGTGTGTATGTTCTTTTTATGATTCATATGTTGATGAGTACTCAAAATGGAGTTATTGATATGCTAGATATATCAATGGAGTTATTGATATGTTGTGTATGCTGAAAATGTTCTTTATATGATTGATATGTTGATCCTATTGATATGTTGTATAAAGCGACCATTTTGGATTTTGGTTGCTCGGGGTCGACGAAACCACCTAAAGCCATCATTTTGGGTTTTGATGGCTCGGGGTCGACGGAACCACCTAAAGCCATCAACTAGGGTCTAGGGTGGCTCGGGGTCGACGAAACCACCTAAAGCCATCAACTAGGGTCTAGGCTGGCTCGGGGTCGACGGAACCACCTAAAGCCATCATTTTGGGTT